CCTATAAATAATGGAAGTATTTCATTAATTTTGGACGTGGCCTGATAGATAAAACAGAGAAAGGAGGAGCCGGCTGCTGGGGTGACAAAAAGGAGAAAATTGGTTTTCTTCTTGGATAAAAAACTGTTGGCTGCTGTTTACATATATATGCACAGAAAACAAAAGAAGGCTGTTTTGGTGGAAATATTTATGTAAGTCAAAAACGGCGGCTAGGGCGAGATACAAAGCTGCTGGAGACTTTCTGTGGGAAAGAAAAGAGTTTATTTTTCTTTTGTTTTATCGGGAATCTAGAATTGGGTTGGTGAGTGAAATTCTATATGGTTGTAACAATTTTCATATAGTGAAAAGTTTTGACGGTCCATTTAATTTGTGCGTTATATTATTTATTTTTCTTGTTTGTTAATATTTCTCTGGACAACAAAAGATCCTGCGGGTTAAGAAGAAAAGGGGATTTGGTGTGAAATTTCCAAACACCATGTACTATAATTGTCATTTGAGAGTAGAGGTATGAAAAGAGAGTTGTTGTTTGCNAATTGGTGTGAAATTTCCCAACACCATGTACTATAATTGTCATTTGAGAGTAGAGGAATGAAAAGAGAGTTGTTGTTTGCCATATCTTCTTCTCATACTTCTATAACCTTGCTTTGATACCACTTTTGTTAGAAATTTGGAGATGGAAAAACTTTAAGAAATGAGAGAATAAATTCAAGAGAACAATCCACTTTTTATTTCTTGAATTGACTTGTATCAAAATGCTGGAATGACAAGACTTCTATAGGCTTTACAAAGCATGTACCTAATCTAGTATATGTATCCACCATTATTGCATTCTTCCTCCTAAAATGATTAATGAATATATCAAATACATGAATATTTAACTAGTACATGAATCTATTATACATATATCAACAATGCATGAATGTTATAAATCCTATTACATGAACCAATTTCACTATAATCAAGTTTATATTTCTAACACGGGAGAATAGTATATCAGCTTTAGTAGTGGTTGTTTTTTTATTTCTTTTTAGTAGTGATAGGAGTTCTATTTAAAGATTGTAATGTTATCTCGCATTTGAAGCAGAAATTGATTTCTGTTTCTTGTTTTAGACAATTTTAATCTTTTATTAATTATAAATAATAGACTCCTAATTATGTTGGATATTAGTCTCTACAATAATCTTGACTACTAATGTGATTTTACAATAATGTATTAGTTATAATGTAAAACAATAAATGTTTTTTTACATCTAATGAATGATGCATGTGGCATTTGAAGCTTGGACAAAGAAGCTTACATAAGATCAAAAGGTTGATGAAAGATGGGCCTCTAAATGGTTAAGATGTAGAATCACTTGCAACTTGTGAATCCCGTCTTGGAGGCAAGATGACCAAAAGATTTACTCAGCTAGATGATATAGAGCTAAGGATGTTTTGGACTTAGTTCATTACGATGCGAATAGTTCTGTGAGTACACCTACGAAAGGCGATTACGTGTACTTTTTCACCT